GAAGAACTATGGATGGAGGCTTGCAACATTATACAGGAGGCAGCAACGAAAACCATCCCAACGAAAAGGAAATGCAAGAAAGCAAAGTGGCTGTCCAACGAGGCCTTACAAATAGCGGGGGAGAGAAGGCAAGCAAAATGCGAGGGAGATAAAGATACAGGAAATTGGATGCAGATTTCCAAAAAATAGCAAGGAGAGACAATAAGGCCTTCTTAAACGAGCAATGCAAAGAAATAGAGGAAAACAGCAGAATGGGAAGAACCAGAGATCTGTTCAAGAAAATTGGAGATATGAAAGGAACATTTCGTTCAAAGATTACCATAATAAAGGACAAAAGTGGTAAGGACCTAACAGAAGCAGAAGACACCAAGAAGAGGTGGCAAGAATACACAGAGGAATTATACCAGAAAGATATGGATGTCTCGTACATCCCAGGTAGTGTGGTTGCTGACCTTGAGCCAGACATCCTGGAGAGTGAAGTCAAATGGGCCTTAGAAAGCACTGCAAATAACAAGGCCAGCGGAAGTGATGGTATTATTTAAATTTTAAAAGATGATGCTGTTAAGGTGCTACACTCAATATGCCAGCAAGTTTGGAAAACTCAGCAGTGGCCAGAGGATTGGAGATCAGTCTACATCCCAATCCCAAAGAAGGGCAGTGCTAAAGAATGCTCCAACTACTGCACAATTGCACTCATTTCACACGCTAGCAAGGTTATGCTTAAAATTCTATAAGGAAGGCTCAAGCAGTATGTGGACCGAGAACTCCCAAAAGTGCAAGCTGAATTTAGAAGAGGCAGAGGAACCAGAGACCAAATTCCAAACATGCGCTGGATTATGGAGAAAGCTAGAGAGTTCCAGAAAGACATCTACTTCTGCTTCATTGACTATGCAAAAGCCTTTGACTGTGTCGACCACAGCAAACTATGGCAAGTTCTTAAAGAAATGGGAGTGCCTGATCACCTCATCTGTCTCCTGAGAAATCTCTATGTGGGACAAGAAGCTACAGTTAGAACTGGATATGGAACAACTGATTGGTTCAAAATTGAGAAAGGAGTACGACAAGGCTGTATATTGTCCCCCTACTTATTTAACTTATATGCAGAATTCATCATGCGAAAGGCTGGGCTGGATGAATCCCTAGCCAGAATTAAGATTGCTGGAAGAAATATCAACAACCTCAGATAGGCAGATGACACAACCTTGACGGCAGAAAGTGAGGAGGAATTAAAGAACCTTTTAATGAGGGTGAAAGAGGAGAGCACAAAATATGGTCTGAAGCTCAACATCAAAAAAATGAAGATCATGGCCACTGGGCCCATCACCTCCTGGCAAATAGAAGGGGAAGAAATGGAGGCAGTGAGAGATTTTACTTTCTTGGGCTCCATGATCACTGCAGATGGTGACAGCAGCCACGAAATTAAGAGACGCCTGCTTCTTGGGAGGAAAGCAATGACAAACCTAGACAGCATCTTAAAAAGTAGAGACATCACCTTGCCAACAAAGGTCCGTATAGTAAAAGCTATGGTTTTCCCAGTAGTGATGTATGGAAGTGAGAGCTGGACCATAAAGAAGGCAAATCGCCGAAGAATTGATGCTTTTGAATTATGGTGCTGGAGGAGACCCTTGAGAGTCCCATGCACTGCAAGAAGATCAAACCTATCCATTCTGAAGGAAATCAGTCCTGAGTGCTCACTGGAAGGACAGATCGTGAAGCTGAGGCTCCAATTCTTTGGCCACTTCATGAGAAGAGAAGACTCCTTGGAAAAGACCCTGATGTTGGGAAAGATGGAGGGCACAAGGAGAAGGGGACGACAGAGGATGAGATGGTTGGATAGTGTCTTTGAAGCCACAAACATGAGTCTGACCAAACTGCGGGAGGCAGTGGAAGACAGAAGTGCCTGGCGTGCTCTGGTCCATGGGGTCACAAAGAGTCGGATACGACTGAACGACTAAACAACAACAAATCTGTGTCAGCTCATTTTTGTTAAGGTTGCTCCAGCTCACGGTTGTTTTCATAACCATGCACCTGAACAAACCACAAGAGGTTAGATGTACAGTGTACTCCTCAAAGATATTCCTCATGTGCTGCTATAATCAGACTAGTGGATGGTTGTTAATTCAGCATATGCACTTTTGACTGTCAAATGGAGGGCTGAGGGGAGGGAATGTGCCCTTGCCATCCTGCTATTAGTCCCAGGCAGCTCATATGAACTCAGCAGGATTCAGAGAAGTAATTATTATGACCCATTTTTATTCCAGCAGTTAGACATGTCAAAATGACTGTTTTTTTGAGGGGGGGCATCGCTCAGTAAGGCATTAACTACAGCTTTACATATTACATATTATAAGCCCTTCCTTTTTTTTCTGGAGGAACAGTTCACAGTTTAGGACATAAATTAATTGAGTGTTTCGCATCCCTTCATAAAAAACAGAGCTCGTTTAACTTTTAATTGAAATGTTATTAATGCAGCTTTAAACAAAGCCATATATTTTAATCATTTAGGCCACACATTTGCATGTTTTTAATCTGTGCTGCAGTGTGTATGGAACTTTCGTTCGAGAGTGTCTTGGTGTACATCATATGCACACCATATTATAATCTGGCATGTGGCGAAGAGTATATACTGCCATTTAGATACAGTGGTACCTCGGTTTACAAATGCTTCGGCTTACAAACACTTCGGGTTACAGACTCTGCTAACCCGGAAGTAGTACCTCAGGTTGAGAACTTTGCCCCAGGATGAGAACGGGAATCACTCTCCGGTGGGGTGGCAGCAGCAGGAGGCCCTATTAGCGAAAGCACGCCTCAGGTTAAGAACGGTTTTGGGTTAAGAACAGACCTCCAGAACTAATTAAATTCTTAACCCGAGGTACCACTGTACTGCAAAGCAGATAGGTATTGAAACCAATATTAGTGGAACTCTTTTTTTAAAAATCAAAATGTTGTGTGCCCCTACTTCCCCAAGTGGCGTGGAACCTGCAGGGGCAGAACTGTATCATGTTTGGTTCCCTTTGGAAGTCTGCAGCAAGGGGTTCTATTCCATTTTAATTTCAGTGGTACCTTGGTTCTCAAACTTAATCCTTTCTGGAAGTCCTTTCCAGAACCAAAGTGTTCCAAAACCAAGGCACGCTTTCCCATAGAAAGTAATGCAAAACGGATTAATCCATTCCAGACTTTTAAAAACAACCCCTAAAACAGCAATATAACATGAATTGCTCTGGTCCATGGGGCCATGAAGAGTCGGACACGACTAAATGGCTAAACAACAACAAGAACAAGAACAAGACCATTGATCTATAAAATGAAAGCAATAATCAATGTACTGTACTATAAAATAAATAAGACAGTATTGTAGATGATAAAAAGTATTTTTTCTCCCCTTACCTACACTGATGATAGTCATTGTTTGGATGGGGGGCTTTTATCCATTTCCACAGTCACACAATCAGTCAAACGGTAGCTGAACTGGGTTCCACACAGTCACAAAAACAAATTAACCGAACAAGACTCAAAAACAAAAATGCAAAATAAATAGCAAAAACAAAAGCACCATATTAAATCCATTCCATAAGTCCGTTTGACTTCAGAAATGTTCGAAAACCAAGGCGCAGCTTCTGATTAGTGCAGGTGCCCTGGAAACAATAGCCTACAGCCGCATCGGACGTTCGGCTTCCGAAAAACGTTCGAAAACAGGAACACTCACTTCCAGGTTTTCGGCATTTGGAAACCAGGGCGTTTGAGTATGTTTAGGGGCATGCGTACCCCTGTCTCTCCCCAGAAAAAAGCACTGAGTATAAGTGGAATCTCCGCTTAACACCACCGTGAGCAACCCAACAAAGAAACATACTCAGGTGGTTTTAGCTTACAGAGCTCATAACTCTGCTCAGCGTTTCTCCACTTCGCTCTGCAAAACAACAACCATCTCATTTTGTTCCTTTTCACAGATCCATTCAGGTCCCATCAGCACCGTACATTTAAACCTGTGCCATAGCACTGTGTAACTGGTTGAAGTTGAAGGGAGAGCATTGGAACATGAATCATAGAACACTTGGTTCCTACTTGTAGGCTTCCCACAGACATCTGGTTGATCACTGTGAGAACAAGATGCTGGACCAGATGGGTCATTGGTCAGACCCAGCAGGCTCTTGTTATTTTCTTACACTTATTCATATGTGACATACAATGGACCTTCAATTTTTGTACACAATAGTTGAGCTGTGCAAATCAACAAATGTACACGCTTTCACACAAACACATGTACATGTACATGTGTAGAGGCAGCTGTACCTGTGTTCAGTGTAAGCTGTGAAAAAGCCTATAGTGACCTTGACTGGATCATCATTAGCTGGGTGGGAAAAGATACGTCATGTACCCTTTTAGGGAACTGCAGCTATTCTCCTACTTTCCGCACTAATCATCTAGCAATTACTCTAATGAAAAAGAAAGAAAAGAAGTTATGACCAGAGCTGGCCAGCAGGAATGACCACCATTATTATGTAATTTTGATCCTATTAACTCTTTCTTCAGAGCTGCAGTTACTTAATGGTCTTATGGAGTCCTCACCCCCTTCAGGTGGCCATATGTATTTCCTTAATTACTTCAAAATGTGGTAAGCCAGCCTTGGCAGCATTTGGGGACTACCAATCTTCTGGTCAGGTCAGGGCCCTGGACATCTGTACCAAGTCTTGCTCTGACACTATGTTTCCAACCAACCTCCCCAAACTTAACACAATGCAACGATCTCTGCTTGCATTGAGCAAATGGAGACAAGTGCATGATGTTGAAGGACATACAGTCCAAGACTTTGGGCAGCTTTGTGACTGGATTTTTGTCATATGCTAACCTTTACTCTGCCATGTACGTACAAGAGATGCAGGCCTGCTTCTGTAAAAATCAAAGCTCTGTCACAACAAGAAACATAGAACAATTAATTTGATGAGCTTTCCTTAGTTCAGTGAAGTCACGATATGAATCTTTGCTCTGTCTTTTCTGTAACATCTTTATTGGAAGTTCAAAAAGTGCATAGCTATATGTGAACCAAACATGGTGAGATGGAAAACAAAAAAAGAGGAAAAGAGAGAAAGAGAAACAGAACCCGTGCAAAAGGGAAAACAAAAGGGGGAGAGGGAAATCCAAAACTGTATATTTTACGAGGTTGTTATTGTACTTCACCAGATCTTAACCTATTACAGTATTTGTAAGAATGGATTCCAAATATCATTGAATTTGTCCATGGCAAGTCTCAGCTGAATGATGGGGGTGGAGACGCTCCTTCAGGTATACTGGGCTGAGGCTGTTTAGGGCTTTAAAGGTCAGCATCAACACTTGGAATTGTGCTCAGAAACGTACTAGAAGCTGATGTAGGTCTTTCAGGACCGGTGTTATAAGGTCTCGGTGGCCACTCCCAGTCATCTTCAGCAATGTTGAAGTTTCTACATACAAAAAGGAAGTTCTGCAGTCCAGCATGTGTGCATATATGAGCAATAGTTCATGGAGAATTAACTACCCTAAAAAAGGAAAACTTTCTGTTTTTGTTAGAATTCCTGTTGTCACCCCCAGTGCCTTCCTTACAGACAAATACATAATGCAAACTCTGGCTAATCCCAGTCAGGCTCCCCAGTCAAGGAGAAAGTCCTAAAATACATTCATAAAAATCAGGATAATGATAGTAACACTTTCCAGCTCTTTGTGCTCCAGTACTTTCTCTTCTCAGCACATATTTATATTTTGCTTAGGGGAAAAAATTGCCCTGAGAAGCACTCCCTCTCCTGAAACAAGTGTTTACGATTTTCATTTCTGACAAGATGCCATATTTTCTCATTTTGTCTCTTCATATCTTTGCACTGAAAATGACATAATGATAACGAATCACATTGCCTCATTTGCAATGACAAGGCTTGCCTCGAAAAAGAAGAATGCATGGATCGCCCTGCTGCAATCTTACCTGGGAGTAAGCCTCATTAAATTCAGTAAGACTCACTTCTGAGTAGACATACGTTGGATTTGTGTCATCTGCCTTTGCGTGACAAGAAAAACAGGTCCTTTTTTGCAGTGCATTGACAGTTGAGTATTTTGGTAAATGGGGGAAATGTAGGGGAAGGGAAGTAGGCAAAAAATATGTGACATAGGCCAATTAGTGTCACCTGAAAAAAAATCCTACTCATTCCCCTCAAAGAAGTCAACTAGCAGAGACCACACTGGAAAAGAAGTGGGAGGGTGCGTGTCTCAATGAGAAGAGGGGAGAGTGTGGTATGGAGTGAATTTGAATAGCCTGATCTCCAGCCAAATCAATCCCTAGTCCACCATGTTGTCTTCATGACTGGAGTGGTGTTTTCTGAGAATTTGGCTAACTGGCATTTGGTTCACGTAGGTGAGTGGATTTTTGAAAATATCTGACTAATACTGGAGCCAGAGTGTTGTTTGGGCCTGTCAGGCTCATCGGGGTGAACTTTGGCCAAAGGGGCCACGGTACACATGTCAGGGTCATATCCCCAAGGAGTACGCAGTGAGGGGGAGGAGTTTCCTCAGACCTTGCTGTGTGTAATCACTGTGTGTGGTTGGCAATTGGCTCAGGAGATGGAAGAATTGAAATGGGAGAGGTGTGTTGGCAAATGGTACTTGAGCAGCAGCATACTCAGTTGCAAGCAGGTGCAAGAAAAGTCAAGCAAATGGAGTTTTCAAGGGGCTTTGGCATTTTTATTTTTATTTTTCAATTGCAAAAAATTCAATTCAGCAACAGTTATAATGTTGGTGATATTCCACAGAGCGCTTAGAAATGCCCATGACTGTCTATGATCGAAGTTTTGATTTCCCCCTTTTCTTTCAGCAAATCTGAAAGCCTTCAGGCTCCATAAATCGTAGTCCTAAATTTACTGGACACATTCTACATTAATGAAAACCAAAGCTGCCAGTTCCTTTAATCTCTGCTCAGTATGATCTTATACTACGTTCTGTAAGCTTACATCTGCTCATGCTCCCCTCTGTGATGTGATGCAAACAGATTTGAACACAACACCAGCAGACAGATGAAACATACTTTTTGCCTAGTTGGGGGGGAAAGATGAGAACAGACCTAAGAGGCAAAATGAAAAATGCATGTGCATTTGATCTTAAGAATCAAATTCTGGCCAATACATTTCGTGGGAGTGACACTGGAATACAAAGATGGCTTAAAACACCCAACGTATTCTGATTATTTTTCAAGTTATGGAAAAGGACGCTCAGTGGGATACCTAAATGTTCCAACCTATCCACCAAGGTGTGGCTTTCTAAGTAGCAAAGTGTACCAGCTTATAAGAAAGTCTCACCACCCAGCTGCATATGAGCCCTGCACAAAGTCTCTACTAAGATACAGGAGGTACTATACACCAGTGCACATTTCTAGTATCTCAGAAGAGCAGGTGTGGCCTGGAGAGAGTCCCATGGGGCACAGTGGCCTGGAGGGTTGCATTTGGCCCCTAGGCATGAGATTTCCTGCCTCTAGAGCAGTGGTGGCAAAGCTTTTAGAGACCGAGTGCCCAAACTGCAACCAAAAAACCCACTTATTTATCGCAAAGTGCCAACACGGCAATTTAATGTGGGATAATAATGATTGTCTGAATGCACACATACAAATGAATATAAATAAATAAATAAACCCAGCCAGATGGGTGGGGTATAAATAATATATTATTACAGTGGTACCTCGGGTTAAGTACTTAATTCGATCTGGAGGTCCGTTCTTAACCTGAAACTGTTCTTAACCTGAAGCACCACTTGAGCTAATGGGGCCTCCTGCTGCCGGAGCACCGCCGGAGCGTGATTTCTGTTCTCATCCTGAACAAAGTTCTTAACCCGAGGTACTATTTCTGGGTTAGCGAAGTCTGTAACCTGAAGCGTATGTAACCTGAAGCGTATGTAACCTGAGGTACCACTGTATTATAAAGCGTCAAAATCAAGATGTGGAAAATATGGAAACAACGAGGAGAGGCAGGGCTGAGATGTGGAGATATGCTTCAGAGATCCAGACCGTGGGGAGCTCCGAAAAATTAATAATTATAATTTGGACTATAATTTTGTTTTTTTATTTTAGTTTTTATTTTAATTGGAGTATTATGATTGGATATATTAATTGGATGTTTTTAATTGGAAAATCAATAAAAATGATTTTAATAATAATAATAATAATAATAATAATAATAATAATATATTTTGTCGTTCGATGAGAGTTTGCCTAAGAACCCTATGAATGCTAACCTCGAGTTCCATGATGAAGGAAAGGCAGGCTATTGGTGTACGCAGGGGCAGCCATTATGGTGCCCTTCAGATGTTGCTGGACTCCCAACCTCACCAGCATGGCCAATAGGCAGAGATTAGAAGTGTTACAATTCAGTAGCATCTGCAGAGCCAGGCTAGCTACCCCTATATTAAAGGATAATATCAGCTGAAAGAAGGTACATGTCAGACCACATAGGTCACCTAGAGAAAGAAAAGCACAGGTCCAGGAGGTTTTGCCTTTCCAGCTCTTTATTCAGCTCTAAATCAGGATAAATGTCATTCCACAGAAAACCCACTTGACTTTGCTCTGATCCAGAGGTAAACAGTGGGTTCCCCCCTGGGGAAAATGGTGGGTCAAGCGGACGAGCCCTAAGTCAACCCTAAGTCATAAAGAGATGGAATCATTGCTCGCTCAACCATTTTAGCCAAAACTGTTGAATTGGAAACTGGTCTGTAATTTCCAAAATCACCAAATTGAGAGGAGGCTTCTTCAGTAAAGGTGTAACTACTGCCCCTCTCAGAACAGATTTCTTGCAATGTCCTTCTTGCAGAGAAGCACTGACCACAACAAAGATGAAATCTGAATAATTTGTCCTGCAAGAGAATGCTATAATTCTAAAATTTTGGAGCTGGTTGGCTAGAGGTACTGATACTGATTTTGGAGGCTGAACTTGCTTGGGGACTAGTAGTACCTGGCTGGCTTTATTTTGTCTGTGCATCCACCTTCTATTTATTATCTTCATAACAGCTAACAATATAAATAGCTACCTGCCTCTTACCTGCTCGGCCTGTCTGTTTTAAATTGCAGCGCAGGGTGTGTGTGCTGGTTGGCGGGCACGCAACTCTCCCCAATGCCACTGTGGATGGCAGGCTCTCTAGCGAGATGATGGCCCTGCTACTAGCCCATCACAAAGACCTTTTACAAGACAAAAGGGTAACCGAGAGGCAAGTTGCCAGGGCAACGTAGGTGTGATGTCACATTGGAAAAAGTTATCCTTTAACACAGAGGTTTTGGGGCAAGGTGTTATGGGAACAAGGAAGTGGAAATTAGAAGACCTCCGTATGGGAGCTGAAGGTCAGAACCACCTTGGCAGGCTGGGACAGAGGCATGGATATGTCTTGGAGTCCAGTGCTGGTTTGCTGTAGGGAGCTGTAACCCTTCCATCCAAGAGCCAAGCTGTATATATGTGTGGGGGAAAGTACATAAAAAAGACACTGTTGTGCCTCATCTCAGGGAAGCACAAAGCCTGGTTAAGTGCCAAGACCCCTAGAACCTCGCATCCCTCAACAGACATTGGAGTGACCTATCATAATATGATTCTAGAATGTGCCTATAGGTTACCTTTAGAATGCACAAACTGAATGGAATTTCTCCCTCGCCCTCGCCAGTCTCTGCCTTGTCTTTACACATGCACATCTATGAGCAACAACAAGGGAAGGAGCTAAACTGCAGGCTCCTGCAGTGAGACCCGGGATTTCTACCCATGCTCACAACTATTGGAAAAAAGCACCCCTAGACTAAACGCATGATCACAGACTAGCATGTTTGCAAAGGAAATTTATTAGAATTAAAAAAGATATATATGAGGGGTGTTCATTAGAGATTCCCCCTGATGTACTTCTCATGGACTGAGACAAATGAAACTAAGCACAGCTATTAGTCCTTCTCTAGCTACCAGCAAGAGTCAAACCCTTCTCCCATCACTTTATGCAACTGTGGAGACCTTCTCTGTAGAAGTCAGAAGGTTGCATCAGAAGCCATGACTTGACCACAAAAATCATTATTCCACTTTAGCACCTGTAGTAGAGAAACTGTTAGGAGTTCAGAGCTATAAATTACCACATTACCTATGGAGAGATGTATCATTACACATGTGCAATTTCATCCTCCTACGATAACCGGAAGTGGGTCAGGGGAAATCTTTAATGAGCGACCCTTGTGTCTCTCTATCATCTATCTATCTATCTATTTATTTATTATTACATTGATATCTCATGGATATGGGTGAGGGGGGATTTGAACCCTGGTCCTCCAGTCCTAGTCCAGCAGTCTGATTTGGGTTGCCAACCCTTTGAACCCATGGGCACACCTGCAAACCTGAGAAACTGCAGTGGGCACTACACCATAATCAAAAAGCACAGCAATAAAGAGAAATGGTTCTCTTCTGCAAAAGGGATGTCCCTGAAGTCTTCTTGAATCAAGAAGCTGCCTCCCCTCCCCTCCCCTCCCCACCCCAGTGATCCAGATTTTCTCTGGCCTTCCTGTTCCTCATGGACAAAGATCAACACTCGCCATCCATATTGGCATTGGCGGCATCCATCCCCTGGTCGCATGGTCTCAAGTAAATTGTTCTAACCTTCATTAACTCTTCCTTCTGATCTTTCATAACATAAACTTTGTCATCCCATCGATCTTCCAATATCTCTTCCTCCTTCTCCTCGCAGATCAGGGGATGGATTTTGGGGGCATGACAGCAGGAGGCCAGCAGCTCACACAGCCTATGAAGACCATGAAACCTAGGGAAGAAGAGGAAAAATACATAGGTAAAGAGTTCTAGTTACTTCCTTGATACTTTTATCTCTGTGCTGAATTTGGGGCACCTGGCAGCTGAACTTGTTTCCAGAAACCTCTCATGGAGAGTGCAGCAAGCAGTTGAACCCTCAGAGGAGGGCATCTTCTCAAAGGACCCTCCAAAACTGGGAGATGCCCTTCCTGTGAGGATGCCCACAAGGGAGAAGCCAAGCCATTTCCCTCAAAGCATCTAAGGTGGCCATTAAGTCTATCTTTAAAAATTAATCTACCGTATTTTTCGCTCTATAAGGTGCACCCGACCAAAAGACGCACCTAGTTTTTAGAGGAGGAAAACAAGAAAAGAAATATTCTGAATCAAATGTTGTACTAAACTATTTAATAAACAACCGGTATATCAGAATCATATTACAACCATGTAAAGTGAACAGCAGTCAACAGTGGCATTAAGAACCATCATCACTGTCATTAACAAATGAAGAGGGAATTTTAGGTTCGAGTACTCTTCTAGTCTTCTGTGAACCCCAAGAACTCATCAGTGCCAGAGTCAGAATTTATGAAGTTCAGTTGCTCACAATCACTGACATCACTTTCTTCACTATCTTCATCTAAAATGTCATCTTCGTTTGCATCCAAAGCATTGCTAATGCCACATTTTCTGAATGACTGTACAACGATTTCCTCCTTCACCAAGTGCCATGATGTTTTCACCCATTCACAAACTTGAGTGATAGTGGGCCTCTTCATTCGTCCAGTAGGTGTCAGATCATGATTACCAGCAGCCATCCATTTGTTCCACTCTTCTCGCATAAAGACCTTAAATGGCTTGTTGATGGAAACGTCGAGAGGTTGCAACTGGCTGGTAAGACCTCCTGGGATTACAGCTAGATGTGTCTTCGCTTCTTTAAAGCACTTATTTGTAGTTTCGCTAATGTGTGCTCTAAACTGGTCCAGTACTAATAAGGCAGATTTTTTCAAAAGCCCTCCAGGACGTTTGGACCACACTTTTTCAACCCATACTTTCATTCCATTTTCGTCCATCCATCCTTTCTCATGAACATGTACAACAATTTCTCGTGGAATCACTTCTTTTGGAAATGTTTTCCTTTTGAAAATTAACATGGGTGACAATTTGGTGCCATCTGCACAGCAAGACAACACAACCGTGTAATGGGTTTTCTCATGTCCAGAGGTTTTCACGGCAATAGTTTTGGCACCTTTCAGATCAACAGTCCTATTAGATGGCACATCAGAAGTTAGCAGGACTTCATCCATATTCCCAGTCTGGCCAATTTCAAATCCATTTCTCTTCCTAGCATCAGTTACAAATTTATGAAAAGACAGAATCTTAGATTCATATTCTTCTGGCATTTTTTGTGCAATTCTAGTTTTGGTGCGCATAGCAAGGCCACATCGCTTCATAAATCTGTAGCACCATGATGGTGATCCAGTAAAATCATGAATGCCTTTCTCTACAGCAATGTGTTTGGCTTCATATATTATCATTTCTGTAGAGACTGTGAAGCCATTATTCCGGTGATTTGTGATCCATTCTTTCATGGCCACGTCCAACTGTGGCCACTTTGCAGCATTTCCACGAAAAGTGTGCTTACTTTTATCTGCTTTTTGCAGCTGATCCTCCTGTTTCCTCCGCTCTCTTATCATTTTTTCTGTTGGAGGTGGCCCAAAACATCTCTCTGCTGCTCTGTTTCCATGCTCCTTAGCATATTTTACTACCTCTAGTTTAAAAGGAATCTTAAATGCTAGTCTTTTCTGCTTTATCATCCTTATCAGAACGGGGGAGGTTTTCTTCAGGAAAATACAGTGAGGAAGGAAGAGGGGGGAGAGCTCACATTTGTCCTAGGCAAAGCAGCCAACTCCTATAGGTCTAGGTGCCTTCACCCCCCCATTACGGTAAATATTTGAGGGAGTCATCTTCCCCCCATGCTGATGGGCATTGCCATTCATATACCAGTGTGCATGCACTTTGTCTTGAGATCCATTGCGGTCTGTGAGATGGGGCTTACCTGTACCTGCCCCCCCAAATATTTTATTGAAGTTGAAGAGGGGAGGAGGGGAGGAAGAGAGATGGAGAGCTCACATTTGTCCTAGGCAACTCCTATGGGCCTAGGTGCCTTCACCCTCCCCCATTAAATATTTGAGGGAGTCATTCCCCACTCCCCATTGTGGTATGTGAGGTGGGGCTTACCTGGCCGCCCCCCAATATTTTTTGAAGTTGGAAGAGGGAGGGAGGGAAGGAAGAGAGAGGGGGAGCTCACATTTGTCCTAGGCAAAGCAGCCAACTCCTATAGGTCTAGGTGCCTTCACCCCCCCATTACGGTAAATATTTGAGGGAGTCATCTTCCCCCCATGCTGATGGGCATTGCCATTCGTATACCAGTGTGCATGCACTTTGTCTTGAGATCCATTGTGGTCTGTGAGATGGGGCTTACCTGTACCTGCCCCCCCCCAAATATTTTATTGAAGTTGAAGAGGGTAGAAGGGAAGGAAGAGAGATGGAGAGCTCACATTTGTCCTAGGCAACTCCTATGGGCCTAGGTGCCTTCACCCTCCCCCATTAAATATTTGAGGGAGTCATTCCCCACTCCCCATTGTGGTATGTGAGGTGAGGCTTACCTGGCTGCCCCCCAATATTTTTTGAAGTTGGAAGAGGGAGGGAGGGAAGGAAGAGAGAGGGGGAGTTCACATTTGTGCAGCTGCCTTGCCTCGCTGGAACAGGAGCAAAAAGAGAAGGAAGAGACGCGGGGCACGAGCCTTGTAAGCCGCTTTGCTTGAATTTACCGGTGAGGTGTTGGGGGAGGGAAGGAAGGGGATGCCCTCTCTGTCCCTCCTTCCGGCTCATTGTAAAGAAAGAAGAGTAAGAGTCTAAGCGGCTCTCTCTTTGCTTGAATTACAGTCAGCCCATCAGACTATAAAGTCACCTCACTGAAAAGCCATAGAGTGGGCAGACACACTGCACAGCTCTTGCCGGCTTCCCAGCCAGCCGGAGGAAGGGAGGTTGCTTCCCTTCTCCCACCTTGCCAAAAAGCCATAGAGCAGGCAGACACGCTGCGCAGCTCTTGTTTGAAAGAGATTTGAGCAGAGTGTCAGAGGCTCTTGCCGGCTTTCCAGTGAGCCGGAAGAAGGGAGGTTGCTTCCCTTCTCCCACCTCACCAAAAAGCCAGCAAGAGCGGCCCCTCCCGCCTGCATTCACTCCATAAGGTGCACACACATTTCCCTTTACCTTTTAGGAGAAAAAAAGTGTGTCCTGTGGAGGAAAAAATACGGTAACCATGACATGGTTCCCTATATTTCTAAATCTTACGGGATAGCAAAAGAAGCAGACTGCAGAAAGAATAAGAGATCCTACTTACACGCAAGATGAAGAAATTTTCACGCAAACAACCTCTTTTCTTTGAACTATCCACAATTAGTTGCTCTTCCCAAAGTTTTCAGCCAAGTCACTCAGCAGGGACACGTGTCACAATGGAGGACATGACACCATTACTTTAGCTATCTTGCTTAACAATTGGCATTGTTCCCCATAATATTCATTTTTCAAATGTATCTTTCAGTGGGTTAAGTAGTTTTATTCAATTTATTTAGAACAGATCTTGAGCTGGCTTCATCCAGCACAGTGCATTTCTGGAAAGGGCAGGAAACACCTTGCAAACAAACACACTTTTCAACATGGCGGAGTCACCAAGGGAAAACACTTTTGGTCTAGAGAGTCTTAGTGTAAGGTTCTTAATGAATCAATTACATTTTTAAAGTGTTCTGAGCTGCTTTAGGGGCTAATATTAATTTATTGCAGTTAAATCTCATCTTTTCTTCCGAGGAGCTCAGTGTGGCATAACATGAATCTCCCCCTCCTCAGTTAACCCCGACAACAACCCCTTGAGGTAGATTAGGCTAAGAGACAGTGAATGGCCTGAGGTCACACAATAAACTTCAAGGCTGAGTGGGGGTTGGACAATCTTAACACCACAGGGGACAGAAAACTACCAAATAACGACATCCTCCTCTCCAGAGCATTAAGTGTTTGTGCTCTTAACTGGGATTGGAAACACAACACAACACAGATAATGTAGGCGAATGGAGCAGGTTTTTTGTTTGTTTTGTTTTTAAGCAGATTTTCCAACTACACAAATTCCTCATCAGACACACACAAACACACACACACACACACACACACACACACAAACGAATGACGTCTTATGGACACAAAGTGAGCTTTGCCCATTGCTTACACCCTGTGTCAATGGTGGCTTCTCCATAGGAGTCAGCAGTTCTTATGTACTATAAACAGAGTTGGCTCATTTATGAACCTGCCTCAGTTCAGTAAACAATAGGTGCCCAAACAGGAGTACTTTTGGGGCAATTGCAATAATGCAACAAAGTTTTATCTGACTGAAGGTGAAGAAGACGCAGCTTCTGCCAAGAAGAAGGTGTTTTGTTTTTCCCTTTATTTAGTTTTCCAGAATATGCAGGCATAATAATGTAGAATAAGGTGTTTTAATATGGTTTGCGCAGTTTGTTTGAAATATGATAACTTCGTGTATTCTGTTCTCATATGATTTGTGTGCAGGCTGTCCCTGGCGCTGTCTGTGTTCTTCCTCTACTCCCTCCTTGATTTTCAAATTGCACATTATCAGCTTTCCAACTGGATATATTTTTCCTGATTTCATATTGTGTCCAACCTGGGCGGGGGGGGGGGGGAGTAGGGAGAATTTGATATGTTCCTTTACAGGAACAGTCAATGTGTATCTCCATTCTTATAAGAGGCCATCAAATGAAGGTGGCTAGGATTGTATTCACCTCTGACCTCTGAAACTTCCTTCTGAGTAGACATGTATAGTGTTGCTGTGGTGCTGCACATAAACTGAGCAGACCTGGGACTGGTCCTGATACCACTGCAGAACCTTTATTTTGAAAGACCCTTGTTTACTCTCTCTGTTCCAAAGCTGTACCCATTGCGTCACATTTAGTTGTGACAAATGGGCAAAACACACTTTCATAAATCTTATGTTTTGCACTCTTGGAAACTGCCTTAAAAACTGTGTGTATCTGTGCAATGCCCTTTCTCCACTCTGAATTGCATTCTCTGTTTCCACTTACGCTTCATTTGTATCTGTCAGGAGAAAGCCAAGGTAATTAAACTTGTACAGTTCCCCCTGCTCCTAACTCACCCCTTCCGTCTTCAGTCTTTCTGTTCTGTGAGCTTTTGACATATGCAAAATATTCACATATTGGTCTCCCAAATGTTAAGCTGAAGCTTATCTGAGGACAAGATTTGTCTACTGATTTAATTCTCAATGAATTATTTCCCATCACCTGATATTTCCCTCAGGGTTAATTTCACTCTTCCTTAGCTGAGGTGACACATCCATCTCTTGGGCTGGTACCTTCTCAATTGTTGCACAGGGAAAATTTTATTTGAAAGCAATTTACCTGTGGAAAATGTTTCATGCCAGTTTAACATGAGAGAGAGAAACTGTGCTTGAAAATAAGTGCCCTATCTTTGAGTTGGGAAGTTTGATAGGGACAATTGGGGGGGGGGGCATCATGCAACTCTTTGTCAAAAGCCTCAGGTAGTGGAATCCCATGAAATTGCATATTTTCTTGGTGACTGCAACTTCCCAGAAATGGAAAAGAAGGTATAGAACTAGGGATGGGTGGTGGAATCAATTCAGTTCTTATTTAAAGACAAAAATTATCTAATTCACACTTTCTGAAACAATGTGTGAAATGATACCTATCCAGCCATTGAAATCCACACTTCTCTGAATTTTGCAATGCAGTTCTCCAGTCATGTAAAATATTCAAAATTTCGCACACAAAAATGCATGTATTAGTGAAAACAACGTGAATGCATTATATTAGGGAACACTGATTCGCAATAAAGTTCCATATTGTACAAAATTGTGTGTATCAGGAGAAATTCACACAAAAATGCTGATGTGTTTTCATGAGGACTTTATAAAAAAATGAAACAGATTGCAAACTGATATGGGGAACTGAATGTAAGATTGTAGGGAGGGCAGAATGAGAAACCAAAATTGACAGGCTCACTCATCCCTATGTAGAACTCAAAGTGAGATAAAAGATAAGAATCAAGATGGACAGTCTATTCCTAAGAGGATGGACTTTACATTTCAATGCTTTAAAATAAAATCCTCCCTGATGTGAAAACTGAGATGGTTTTCAGGTGTGAAGCCTGAGAAAGGGAGATAGGGAGAAATAACCCTAAAAAAGAGAATAAGAAAGGGAGGCTGGTGGGTAATAAGCCAATGATAACTACCGTATATACTCGAGTATAAGCTGACCTGAATATAAGCCGACGCACCCAATTTTACCACAAAAAACTGGGAAAACTTATTGACTCGAGTATAAGCCTAGAGTGGAAAATGCAGTAGCTACTAGAAAATTTCAAAAATAAAAATAGAGACCAATAAAATTACATTAATTGAGGCATCAGTAATTTAAATGTTTTTGAATATTTATTTTAAAGAAAAACAGTAAACTAGTTCTGTAAATGGAAAAGTGGGTCAACAAAAACAATATGGTATCAACAATAACTTTAAAAGTACAAAAACCTTCATCTCTCTCCCTTCTCACTGTACTCAAACTACTCCCTCTTCCATTCCTCAGCTGCCTCATGAGAGCTCTCAGATATTCCACAGTACTTTACTCAAACCTCTTACCATTGTTTAAAACTGCCAGTTTTCCCCGTCCCCTCCAGCCTCCATACCCTTCAGTGTTTCTCCCTTCTTACTGTCATGCCATGCTCACTACTCTTGCGCAACCTGACTTCACTTTTGCTTGCTGCCTTTATGCAAATCCAGGATTGTGATGTAGCAACTACAAATCCTCCAATGGGGGCTGCCACCATGAAAGCCTTTCTTCCTAGGGAAAGAAAGGTACCTTGTGGACCATGAGCTAATTCTGGACTAAACTTCACAAGCCCACAGGTTTAATTTTTAAGGAAGGAAACCTCTTCTCAACGGATAAAGGGGATGCTGGTGCTATCTTACCTGACGTTTCCAGCCGTGATGACAACAGAACACAGGTGCTTCCCCTCTCCCCAAAAGGGCTTCTCTACCACACTGGTTCACTCAGCCTTCGGTCTGAAAACATTTGATATACACACATCAAAGGGCATGAGTTCAAGCTCCCTCAAAGCTCCATGGGAGATTTGCATTCACTTCTCGCAGGAGGGGAGGTGCCCACGCAGGCAAGAAAGACGCAGCCCAGGGCTTGCAGCCGAGGGAGCCAAAAAGCAAACCAGTCCCCTTCTTCCCGCTGACCCTGAGGTGCGTCTTCAGCCTCCAAGGTGCCCAGGTATAGCGAGAAGTGTCAGGGCGGCCAAGGTGTGGGAAGTGGGGGGGGCAGCCTCACCTACCGAAATGTGTAGGCGAGAAGCTAAGGTTGAGGCTCTGCAGCCAGCACAGCACCATCCGGGGCAGCTCTGTGCGTCTCGGGCTGGTGGAGTAGGACATGAGGAGAGGCAGCTTCCCTTCGCGAGCGCCTTCTAGAACCATAACAGCAGTTGCCACAGCAACCGCCACTGCCGCTCTGTCCGGTTTTTGTTTTTTTTTAAGAAGCACTGCCACGCATGCCCGGGCTTCTTTAAGCATTCGCACACGCACAACTGTGGGGCTGTTTGGAGGAAGAAGGAGCAGCCTGAAAGGGCTGCTTTCGGGCTGTTCATTCCTCTGCCGCCGCCAGCGGCAAAGGAGGAGGAAGGAGCAGCCCAAAAGGGCTGCTTTCAGGCTGCTCATTCCTCCTCCGCCAACAACAGCCTCTGCCACTCGCAAGTCATCTGCACTGCACCGGAGAACAGGTAAGTGGGACCCTCACTCGAGTGTAAGCCAAGGGGGGCTTTATCAGCATAAAAAATGTGCTGAAAAAGTCGGCTTATACTCGAGTATATACGGTAGTTGGATTAGTTTATGGGCGTTTTGTGCTATTCAGTATTAGCACAGATACGTTAAATTATAATAATATGTTTCCTGAAGATGGACTGAATTTTGAAAATTAAATAGACTATTGTGCCATATAGAATTCAAGAAAAATGGGGTTATTCTTACAGTCTTAGTAATGGATAGTGATAGTTTTTAAGCTTTATAATTATCTAGAAAATGTTTTTCATATTACCTCATCCAAACCATGCCCAATCACTTTGACCAAACTCTTGAAAATTAAAGCAGCATTTGAGATGCAAGTAAAAAAATACTGTGCTATGTGAAGTTTGAACATTTCCTTCTTCATATATATTTATTTATTCAATTTTATCAACTCCATCCCATAAAACGAGAGATCTCTGTGTAACATGCAAGGCTGAAGCAATTTGTTTAAAAAACACAGTTCTGCTAGGACAACTTAAGAAGCGGCAAATAAGACAACTGTACAACTGAAACACTTTAGAACAGAGATCAAAAGATTAAAACTTTGCAGAAATAATCAATTAGAATCAATAATATCCTCTGCTGCAAAGCTAAACACCACAGCATGGTTTAAAGTTTACTGGTAAATGCCTCTGGGAAGAAAGTGGGAGAGAAATTCCCTAACACTGAAGAGACATGAAACTTGACGCCAGACTTCTAGGAAGAGGACATTCCTTAACCAAGGGGCCACTGGTGATAAGGCCCTTTCAGGAAGAGCCATGGAAGAATCCAATGATTCCCAACAGAGTTAAAAGTTCACCACATTTATACATATATGATTCCAATAATAAGCTCTTGTAACCTTTTGAATTGCTACGGCTATTGAACTTCATCCAGTCATCTCTGAAGAACACCACAATACTTAGTTCCATAAAAAAATTACAAACTGGTCATTTTAGAACTTGATAGAATTGGGGAGTTAGATAACACATAGCATCAGTCCAGTGCAGTTCTTAATACAAGCTAACCCTGAACTCATAAACAGTCATTGTCCCTGGCTGGCATCAATATGGAAGAAGGGTAGGCCTTGCTTCCACGGCTGAACCTTGTTTATGAAGTCTGAGCTTGCACAATGATTTGCCTTGTTTTCAGCAAACATAGTAGATACAGCTCCAGAATTCCATTTTTAACTGTTTTGCAATGTCTCAGTGGCACGTGCAAAGATAATGTTAATTCCCCAAATGCTTCAGGTGTTTAAAGATTAAAGCTGAAAGCTCGTCTTAGAAAGGCATTCCTAGACAATGCTTTAAACAGTCTGCGCTGATGGATGATTTACTAAATGAATCTCAAATGTCTCCAATGAACTCGCTTCCATGAATCTTTCATTTTGATATTTTTGCATTTCAAGTCACTTTCTCCTCTGCCTTAATTCCCCCGTGTCTAAAAGAAAAAGATTAATGTTTATAAAATATTCTAAGGTTGAAAACTGTAATGCATTAGAGATATACTACCAATAGATTCTGCACTCCAAAAAGTGCTTAAAGTTATGAGACAGTGCATCTATCACCATCTCATACCTGTCTTTAACTGATTTCCAAATAATATTTTGCAAATCACCAATGCTGAAAGCATCAATATTACCATTTTAAGGCTGCAATCCTCATCATATTTACACACGAGTAAACACTATTGAATTCAGTCAGGCTTGCTCCTAGGTAAGTGACTGTTCTGGCATTGCTGCCATTGGTCTTTTTGGTTTATTAGTTTGCAGCCTGATGTTTATTGTTTTAATGATTTGTGGCAAAGTACTATGAGTACATTGTACTCATAGTACCAAAGGAAGACACATACTGCAGTCTAAATTCTGTTTGGTCAGTCAGTGTAATAATCTGAACAGCTGGGATGATATCACGCCTGCTCTGTACAGAAATTCAATTAAGAGGAGAGAAACAAGAAATCAAAGAACATTTTCCAGGATGTCAAACTGGAACCCTGCTGATCTATCCTTTCCTTCAGAAATGCTACTTAGGAACTGAAAAGCATTCTGAAGAAATAAAAGTGTTTGTTTCAGCTTTGGAAATGACCTAGCATCGTAACATAATTAAAGCGGGTAAGTTAACCACATACAATATACTGGCTTATTGTGGTAATATTATAACACAGACACACATTATATGTTGCTTGTCCCTTTGCCCCATTTCCCCCCAAGTCGTTAGAAACAATCATCAGCTGTCTCACATCAGTCAGATGTAATCTGATCAATTTCACTTTGGAAATGGTCCCCTGTGAGCATCCACTGACTGGGGGAGGACAAATCATAGCTCCAGACAGAAATGCTGTCAGTTTTCAATGCTTCTGACTTTGACGCATTCAGCTCACCTGCATCCAGGCATTGGTCTGAAAATGTATGAAGCGAAGAGCAGGGCTGTGCATGTTAGACATGCCCCAGTGCCCTGTCCATGCTGGAGCCATCCTTAACCTTTGTGCATTGACTTCGAAGGTCTGAAGTTGAATGCACGTAGAAGCCTGAGCTGTGCAGCTGTGGTTCCTAATTGCAGGGTGGATACTGGGTGCAGTCAGCTGGATGCAAAATGCATTCCCTCTTCAACCTGCCCTCAAAGGTATAACAGTCTGAGGCTGCATTCAACAGGGCCAGCATCTGCAGCTCTACAACACATTTTCAGGCAAACACCTGAATAAAGCTTTTGTCTTCAATGAATTGGGTGACATTTGCCTCCCAAGCTCAGCATGATGTACTCAGAAATGTCACAGATCACTGAATCGAATCCCTTGAGGGCCTGGTAACTCACCCATCTAAATCATATCATCCCAGGGGGCAAGGACAAGGCCAGGTCTCCCCTGACACATTGTTGGATATGAAACAATGTCCAACAATTGAAGAGCCACAAGAAGGTGTCTTTGACTCCTCTGGGATGCCTAGTGGAGGGAGAGGATTCACCTGTTCAGAGGGCTCCATTCCATCACAGCAAAGGTTATGTGCACACTGGGAGCGTTAAACAAAAGAAAGGGTAGGAGATAAATTGAATAACAGCCTATCTAGGTGCAAATCCCTTTAATGCAAGGGTATGGAACCATTTTGGCTCAGCTGATGGGCAATGGACTTGAAGCCAGTATGCAATTGAGAGCACACTTGAAGGTTTCTGATTCCGCATTGGCAGCTGTGAGCCCATCTGTGACACACCTGATGTCATATGGGCATAGTTTGGGGAAATTTGAATTATTGGTGGACCACGTCTGGCCCATGGACCAAAGGTTTCCTACCCTTGCTTTAATGCTTGGTGGAGTTGTGGTCCTTCATTGGCCTTAATATAACCAGCTCTCATTCCTTCATTTCTAGATAGAGGTTCAAGCCAACATTACAAGAAGAAGATGGCAAATTTATTACATTTTCCAGTGGCAGAGATATAGTTGGATTTGTTTCTAGTTCTGTCCGTAGTATCGTACTTAATCCAGTACTGTCCATATGATTCTGATGTTTCAAGATGACTACCTGTTCTGCAACCTAACACATGAAGAGAAGGTTGGAGACTGACAGCATTTGGGGTTATTTTGAGCAAGTGCAGGACAAATGCTGTTTTAACTGCACAAACATGCATATCTCTATCTGAATATATCAGTAGGAAGTTACAAGGAAGCAACTGGAAAGGAAGAACAGCAGGACCACTGGTGGCTCCTTGCCCAGGGCCCCATGAAAGTCTGCATTTAGTTGTGATCCAGTTAGCTTGCTTACATCCATTTCACATATTACACAAATGCAAATGGAGTCTGCCGCTGAGTGGCAGGAAGCTGTAGTCAATCACTGCTTCATTCACATAAATATAGACACAACACATGGGCTAATAACTGTTAGAGCATATATAATAGAATAATGATATCATTCAAAAAGAAGAAATAAATCTATTAGAGTTCATATATTCAATGTAACAGACTAGTGGCGCAGAACGTCAAGCCATGTGTTCAAGATAGGTGTCAAAAGTCACTGCTTCATGACAAGTACATTTGCATATGTGTTTTCAAGCGTATCTTTCTCACATTATATTTATGTACACAGTACTTCATATTTTTAGAGATACAGTGGATGCTCGGGTTGCAAACGTGATCCGTGTGGGAGACACGTTCGCAACCCACAGCGTTCACAACCTGCACGCGCGGGTCACAATTCGGTGCTTCTGCGCATGCGCAAAGCAAGATTTAGTGCTTCTGCGCATGTGCAGGCACTGAAACCCGGAAGTAACCCATTCTGGTACTTCCAGGCTTCGGTGCGTCTGTAACCTGAAAATGCGTAACCTAAAGTGTCTGTAACCCGAGGTATGACTGTACACTGAAAGTATCTGAGATGTAGGCATAAATAATGAAATGGATGGATGTGCCCTATGCCAAACAGTTGGCCTGGAAGACATAGCATCCACTAAACTATCTGGGTGGATGGAGGTCTGATCTCCCAAGTACTCTTCCAGGACAAGCGTCACTCATTTTAATTGAACTTGACTTGGACAAGTGCTTTAAGAATGACACTGGAAGTGAAAAGGGGAAGCAAAGCAGAGCACTTCTACATTTCTCTCTCCCTCTTTCAGGAACCTCTTCATTGTGGGGGGGAAATGTCAGACTCCTCCAGGTGTCCAAGATATATGATGATTTACTGAATTGTTTCTTGGGGAAAAAATTCTACAGAACAAAATAATCTTTTGCTGCAGCAGGATACTCATATATTTGTTCTTTGGGGCTAAAAGAAGTTGATATTCTATCTCTCACATAAAATTAGGACTGCCAGGACTTCAATAACAAGTGGCTGCAGGGTGTGATAAATACAAAAGATGGCTTTGAACAAAACTGCATTATGGGTAAGGGAGAATTTTCGGCAACACCATTTTCCTCAACAAGGAATTCTCAGCAGCAGCAGAGAACAATGCTGGCTTGCATCAGCTCTGAAGAACTAGAGTCCCACAACCCCCACCCCGCCCAATGCTAGTCGTGATTAGATAGAGCAGTGGTAAAGAACGATAACTGAATGAAGAGATCAGCCCAAGCAGTCATTGTCATTTATCATGCAGAGGTTACTCAAAACAGTCTCTATGTGATGCTTTAACCCCCGATTCTCTATAACTCAGTTCTACTGCAAAGAGTGGAGTATTCCCAAGGCAGCAGCGGTCTGTTCCATTTGTGGCTGGTGCTGCTACAGGAATTCTCTGTGTCAGGCAGAAAAGAGAATAATCACGTTGAAAGAATGTGCATGTTCAGTGGTGAAAACCCTATCACAAATGCAGCCTTGGTTCATGGATTTAAAACCAAGGCTAAGTGAATATGGCCCCCCAAAATTTATTTAGGTTCTTCAGGCACAGTGATTTAGGTTCTTCAGGCACAGTGAAACGGAGGGCAATTTTCTCCCCAAATAGTCTCGGTAGGTAGGTAAAATTCCCCAATGGATAAACTCTCTACTGACACATTTTGATTCACTTATAGTTAAATTAAACTCCACTTCAAGTTCATTGTGCTGCTCAGGAGTCAACTCCTAGGGGCTGAAGGGGCTTTGGTCCCCCCATAAAATATATGAGGAGACTGCCCCCTTCAAAGCTGGTGGGCATTGCCATTCAAATGGTATGCATGCATCCATCATGTGACCTATTAAGCCTACCAATATTTTATTCAAGTTGGTACCCTGGATGAAGGAAGCAACAGCCTAAGAGAGAAGGACTGGAAGGAATAGAGCCAAAGCCCATTGCTTCCTTCAACAATATTAAAATAACGTTAAACAATGTAAAAACTAGATCCACTGTTGTGTCCAAAATCCACAGATGGCAAAACTGGGGTGGCCGTTTCAGTAATTATTCTCCATGGGAGGACTGAAATTCTCCCAACAGTTCTAGAGAAGCTAAAACAAAAAACAAAAAACTTTCAAAAAATATAGTCTGTAATATCCTTGTCTATAGGTTTTCACACGAGGGCAATATGCCATGTTCTGGAATACCAAATTTGGACATATCTACAGTAGATGGACAAGGGGCTTAGCTAAACAGGACGTTTTTCTGGATTTTTGGTTCCCATTCTGGGCTTTTGTTAAGAGGTGGCCGTGAGACCACCAATGGCACAAGCTTCATTTGGGAGAGACTCTCTGTCATAAAGAGAACTGTAATGTTTTTGTAACATGACGCGGGTGGCGCTGTGGGTTAAACCACAGAGCCTAGGGCTTGCCAATCAGAAGGTCGGTGGTTCGAATCCCCGCGATGGGGTGAGCTCCTGTTGCTCGGTCCCAGCTCCTGCCAACCTAGCAGTTCGAAAGCATGTCAAAGTGCAAGTAGATAAATAGGTACCACTCCAGCGGGAAGGTAAACGGCGTTTCTGTGTGCTGCTCTGGTTCGCCAGAAGCAGCTTAGTCATGCTGGCCACATGACCTGGAAGCTGTACGCCGGCTTCCTCGGCCAATGAAGTGAGATGAGCGCCGCAACCCCAAAGTAGTCCACGACTGGACCTAATGGTCAGGGGTCCCTTTACCTTTACCTTTACTGGAGTCCACAAGAGACAAGGACATACTTTGTTCTGAGCAGAAAGGTTTACTGAGCAAATTACTCTGCTTGGGGTTTACCCCCATCCTCTGCCTTTGGCTATTTTTAATTGTTTAGTGTGAAAATAGAACCTCTATTTTTAAAAGAATATTTTGAGAAATGTTGTCTTGACCCAGCCACTCATAGTTGGATGGGGAGCACATTGTGGCATCAAAGGCCTCAATGTGTGCTTCTACAAGTGTCATTTCATTTAATATCACCACTCACAATATCATGAAAGGAAGGAAGGAAGGTGAAAGCCCTGGTTTGTATCCTTGGCACCACCACACAATTCCCACTGGCCTGTCACAAGTTGTAAGTGATCAGATGGGTGCTTTTAGACATAAGAAATGAGGGCACAATGGTTAGAATTTTCAGTTCCTCTATCAAGTTGCACATCTTAGAATGCACTAAACCAAATGCTGTCCATGAGCTACATATTGTAGTCTGCTGGTGCCTCACAACTCACCTGTCTTTGTAGCTCCAGGTAGAAGAAGCTGGAAGCTTGAAGCCCTAGAGGAACATTCTGTTTGGGCTGCATTCAGTTTAGGGCAGAAGTTCTGCCCACACTTGTTCTCAAGTGTGATGTAGTGGATAGATTGTTGATCTAGGAACCAGAGTTCAAATCTCCAATCAGCCATGAAGCTCAGTGGGTGACCTTAAGCCAATTACTGTCTCTCTGCCTAACCTACCTCACAGTGTAAGAATATAATGAGGAGATATAGGACAATGTAGACAATCTTGAGCTCCTTGGTGGGCCATATATGTAAAACTAAATAAATCATAAAGTTGTGAAGGTGAGAAATATCTAAGAAGACTCCCTGGACCTCCTCAAAACTGGGCACCATGTCAGACATTTAATTCCTAAGACTTTCTTGGGTGAATTTCATTGCACCACAGATTGGTATTAAGTGGTAGTGTTGGTTGCAATAACAGCCAACATTTTAGACTTAGTCCAGTTTTGACAACTTGTAATAATGGTTCAGAAGCACAAAATATTTCATTCCTGGTATTTACATTCCTAGTGGTTGGGTCAATTGGAGAGCAAATTCTGGGTTAACAAAATGGTTAGAGGCACCCATTTCAGGGAAAGAGGAACTTATAGGCTTGCAGAAAATAATTCAATTTTGGGGTAAAAAAGTAAGTTAAATAAGTTGGATGTGCCAAGCAATTATTGTTATTGCAGAGTTGCACAACATAACGATGAAACATTGATGCAACCTCTTGGCAAAAAAGGGTAAATTATGCAGATACTTTCATAGCAGTAAAAGTGCATTATGCATGGGGTTTTAGAAATAGGGTTTTAGTAGTAATGTACAAAAGTGTGCACTCTGTTTCATACCACGCTACTTTCTTCAGATAAATACACAAACTCTCAGCTTCATAATTAACAGATATTTAATTTACCTAGAGGCAGCCATTTGGACAGCCCCATGAATATTTTAGTCTCCAATTAGTGTTTGCCAATGCAGTGTGGACAAATGACTATATAAAACATTTATTCCATATAGCATCTTGCACGCAAAACTTAGAGCTTAGGCCTTTTATTAGGCTAACTCCAGTTGCAAAGCTATGCTGTGTTCCAGTCACTCTGGAATCATTGCCCTGGGTTACTCAGATTTTTAAGCTCAGCCATTTTCTGAGCACAATTCAAAGTGTTGGTGCTGACCTTTAAAGCCCTAAACTGCCTCGGTCCAATATACCTGAAGGAGCCTCTCCACCCCCATCGTTCTACCCGGACACTGAGGTCCAGCTCTGAGAGCCTTCTGGCAGTTCTCTCACTGCGAGAAGCCAAGTTACAGGGAACCAGGCAGAGGGCCTTCTCAGTAGTGGCGCCCTCCTTGTGGAATGCCC